GGGACCGTTGGGGGCGGGGTGTGTGGCCTTATGACTCACTTCCGGTGATGTCAGGGGGTGTGGCATATGCTAATGATTTATGCTAATGAGTTCCCCTAGCTCTTTTTCTACTAAACGACCCCTGGAAACAGGAGAGGTGTTAAGGAATAAAGGAAAAATTGTGTTTAAGCAACAATTTGAAATGCGATGTCCAATTGCAAAATATATTATTGAAGCCACGTTTAATTTTACTTCAAAGAGGAAATCAAAAGACACAAGAAAAGTATTTCCTGGGATCCAGCCTCGTGTCATTGCAAATGCACACAAGTTGAATAGTATTGCAGTTGTATCCCTGGGAATGAATAGTAAGGGGGGGGGAGTATTAACTTGTACCAAATGTAAAACCAGTCTACAATCCCTCCCCTCCTTCAGTTCAGATTAAACAGCAAGTCTGGAGGAGATGTAATAATTAATAATTATCATATGGATTTGTGTGTGGAATAGCCAGGCGACCCTAAGACTGTCTGGCAGCCAGAAGTTCTAGCTCTTTAAGTGTTATGCACCATTAGGTGGTGAGCAATGTTCCCTCTAAGCGGTGGAGTCTTGTGAGCAAAAATTCTACTGTGTGAGCTACTGGCATTAAAGTTGTGAGCGAGCAATTTGGCTGCTGCATAAATTAGTCTGCTCTGCAGCCATCCTTCCTGAGCTAAGACAAAAATGTGTGAGCCAAAGGCTAAAAAACTGTGAGCTGGCTCACACTAACTCAGCTTAGAGGGAGCACTGGTGGTGAGCGAGACTTGTTTTTAAGGCAAGAGATGTTTCAGAGGTGGTTTTGCCACTCCCTGCCTCTGCATTTCACCCTTGGTATTCCTTGGAGGTCGCCCATCCAAAATACTAGCCAAGGCTGACCTTGCTTAGCTTCCAAGATCTGACGAGATCAGGCTGGCCTGGGCTATCCAGGGCAGGGCAGGAGGAGGGGATGTAGCATATGCTGAAAGCCAGTGTGGTGTAGTACTTAAGAGTGTCAAGCTAGCATCTGGAAGATCCCAGTTCAAATCCCCACTCGTGCTGTGGAAGCTCACCTTGGGCCAGTCTCAGGCTAGCCTACCTCACAGGGAGATTGTTGTGAGGATAAAATGAAGGAGAAGGCTGTGAGCTGCTTTGGGTCCCCCTTGGGGAGGAAGGCAGGGTATAAATGAATTTAAATCAATCGTGCTTTGGCTCGCTTGCTTGTGCTCTCTCAGTTACTCTCGGAAGCTTGTCTCAGAGGGTGGCCGTGTTGGTCTTGCAGCAGAAGAGCCAGATTCGAGTCCCGCAGCACCTGAGAGACCGAGAAGATTTCCAGGGCAGGAGCTTTTGGCTAGATTCAAAGCTCCCTTCGTCAGATCCCCCCCTCTAGGGAGCCAGTCTCAAGGTCCTCCAAACAGTTCTTTGTCACTTCAGTAGAATGATTTCGTAAAAATCATTTTAATCATTCTTTTTCTTCTGTTTCAAAGGACGTCGCAGCTCGAGGACTGGACCTCCCGCAGGTCACCTGGATTGTTCAGGTAAGTCTTCTGCTTTGATCCTGCACTTGAAATACATGTGAGTGTGAAGTGATTAACCCGTCAGTCCTCGGCATTGCAGAAGTGCAGCCCGGAGGTGTTATAGGGTAACTGCCAGGTACATTCTCTGGCCCTGCTAGAAGGGCAAATGGAGAGGGCTCCCCTGTCCCTGTGGTTCTGGTACGTGGGCCGTTCCTCCTGCAGCATGGAATCTCTCCACTTGTGATATGTGCACACCGGGCAGAAGTTGGTGGCACAGCATTGTGTGGCCCGGATTTCCACACTCATTGCACAGTTTTGCTCTGCGGAATCTGGGTCTGCCGGTCAGTTCAACGGGAGGAAAAGAATCTGCCACGGTCAAGACAGTGCAAGAGAACCTGGAGTCACCAAGACCAGAGGCAGGTGTGGCCCCTCTCCCTCCTCCCATCGGCAATCCTTATACTTTCTCCCAGAGAAGCGAGAGGCTGCTGGTCAGTCTTACGGAGAAAGTAAACGCCTGCCTCCAGGGACAGTGTTCCGGCGTGGGCCAAGCCCATTTGCCTCCACTGACTCTGGGTCATTCAGTAGTGACCTTGGGGGCTGCATGGCTGTGTCTGCACCTCAAGATGGCTTGTGCGCACACACATCCCAAAGTCCCTGGAACACACCAGCCGTCTCTCCAGAGTCCCATCCTGCCCATCAATAGCAGGCATTCCACTGTTCCCTAAGGAAAGAGATACATGATAGAGGTTTACAGAATTATGTATGGGACAGAGAAGGCAGAGAAAGAAGTAGTTTCCGCCCTTCCTCACAGTGCAAGAACCCGTGGGCGTTCCATGAAATTAATGAGCAGTAGGTTTAGAACAGATAAAAGGGAAGTCCTTCTTCCCCCAAAGAGTAATTAACGCGTGGAATTCCCTGCCGCAGGAAGCTGTGGCAGCTACAAGCCTAGACAGTTTCAAGAGGGGATTGAATAAACATATGGAGCAGAGGTCCATCTGTGTGGCTCTTAGCCACAAGGTCTCGATGGAGCCCTCTATTTGGGGCACTGATGCTCTGTGTTCTTGGTGCTTGGGGGGGGGGCAAGAGTGGGAGGGCTTCTGGAGTTCTTGCCGCATTGGTGGACCTCCTGATGGCCACTTAGACTGGATGGGCCATTGGCCCGATCCAACATGGCTTCTCTTATGTTCTGAAGTGCTCACTAGCTTTCTGCTCCTCATGCCTCCCCTCCATGCTGCCCTCCAGAGGTCCACACATCCCGTCATGCACGGCCTTGGATGGGGCCTCTGCTGTGCAGGCTATTGGAAGCCGTTGGGGGCTTCCGCTCTTCAAGAAGACTCGGCTTGGCTTGGTTGTTGCACAGGCTGGTCCGAGAAGCTTGCAGAGATGTGAGAGAGACAGGCAGGTTGCAGTTAGATGGTCCTTGCCCTCTCCTGTGGCTGGGGTGCCACCTCTGGGTTGGGAAATGCCTGGAGACTTGGGGGGTGGGGCCTGGGGAGGGGAGGGGCCTCGGCAGGGATGTGTGTCCACCTGCCAAAGCAGCCATGTTCTCCCAGGGAACTCATCTCTGAAGCCTGGGGACCAGCGTAATTCTGGGGGCCCCGGAGCTGGAAGACCACTTTGGTAGACGACATCGGTAGGAGTGCAGCTGCTGGCCCAGCTTTGATGGTGAGAAAAGAAACGAGCCCTGAAGTCTGGAACATCCTAGCAACCAAAAGGCCAACCAAGGGCTGAAGGCAGCTCCCCTGCCTGGAACGGAGCTTCGTAGGCTTGAACAGGGGCAGCGAAGGGAGAGGTTGATCTGAATAGTCATGACAAGGAGAAAATGGATGGCGAGGAATTTGTCCCCCGTAAGGTGCTGTGGCTCAGTGGCAGAGTATCCGCTTGGCATGCAGACGGTCCCAGGCCCATTCCCTGGCTTCCCCAAGACAACAGTTTGGCTGCTGGGCACACCAAAGCACATCCTGCAAAACTCTCACAACCAGGGCTATTTTTGGGTAGGAACGCGCAGGAACGGAGTTCCGGCTGGCTTCAGAGTTGGCCACGCCCACGACAGCCAAAACCTCTGTGTGTGCGTGGCTACAGAGGAAAGGCCTTGAGAGCGACCCCCCCCCAGCAACTCTGAGGCAGGGGGGCCAGGGGGGCCCTGGAAGGATCGGGGAGGCATTTAAATGCCTCCCCATGCCTTCCCCAGCCTGTCCATGGTCCAGCTTGCCCGGGCAAGCCAAGGGAAGCCATGGGGGTGTGGCCTAACATGCTAATGAGCTGTGCTGTCAGGGGTGTGGCCTAACATGCTAATGAGTTTCTGCTGTTGGGTGTGGCCTATTATGCTAATGAGTCCCTGCCTGGCTTTTTCTACAAAAAAAGGCCCGCTCACAACCACATGCAGTCTAGAAGAGGGGTTCCCACCGTGGCGCCTGTGGACACCTTTCCTGGCACTCGCCAAGTGCTTTCAGAAAGTGGGCGCGGCCAGGTGGAGCTTTTGCCCATCAAGGCTTCTGATTGGCCAGATTTTAAAGAATGTTGCTTTATTATACATTTTCAAACGATCAAAATCATAACGAGACAGCACTTACCACCCACAATTTTGCAACATATGAAAAAGGACTTTGACACCCCCCCCCCGACTTGCAGAAAAAACTGGATATAAAGCAGACTTCCTCCACCACTGGTGGACCTGTAAATACATACAACCTTTCTGGAGACAAGTGATTCAACGGATGAAACAAATAACAGATGAAAACTTGCCTTTTCTTCCCGAAGTTCCACTCTTGGGCAAATGGACTGATCCAAACAATAATACTTAGAAAACATAATCAATACACGTTCTCTTATCAGTCGTGCGAACCACAATAGCGACACAATGGATAGACAAAGCCTGGCAAAAATCACATTTGGGAACATTTTGTTGTGAGCAGAATTTCAACCGACGTGTCACCCTCAAAGAAATATGAATCAAAATTTGTGGCAATTTGGTTTCCTCTTACAAAGTATATGACAGAAAAGGGCATTATTCCAGAAAACTTTATATAGGAAAATGATTTATTTTTTATCGGTGCATCTTCTCGAAAGAGCCTGATACTGTATTAAGAGACTGTTAAAACAATACGGTGTTTGTAAATCTGTTAACGGTTTTATACATGGTTATATCATAAGACCGTGTATTAAATGATGGGGAAATTTTTTAAAAAGGATGTTGCTTTGGCAGCAGCTTTTATCACAACACGAGGATCTTCACTGTGTGTCTGAAGGGAAGCTGCAGCAGGCATTTTGGGGCTGTGCCCACCGCACTGTGTCAGAATTCCAAAGGTGCCCACGGACTGAAAATGATTGAGGACCCCTGGTCTAGAAGGAAGAAACAATAGAGATATCAAGGTTTTGCCACAAAACGAGGGTTTGCCACAAAACGTACGCCCAGCACGAAGCTACAGCCAATTCCCACTCTTCCCAGCATCTCTGTCTGTCTGGTGCTCCTGGTTGTCGCATTCACCCAGGGGTACACCTAAAGCGTTCCGTGCGCCTTGGTGTTTAGTCATGCCGGCCACATGACCACGGAAACGTCTTCGGACAGCGCTGGCTCTTCGGCTTTGAAACGGAGATGAGCACCGCAACCCTAGAGTCGGATTCGACTGGCTTTCGAGCAAGGGAACCTTTACCCTTACACCTAAAGAAGTGGTCTGAATGAATGAGAAAGGGCCGGTCTTCATAAACAGCACATCACAGGGTGAAGCTTTTCCTGGACTGGATCGTTTTGTATTTCGGCAAGAGGAAGGGAAGGTTGCAGTCTTGAATGGTTCCTTAGCAACAGGTAACCTTGCAGCTGGAAAGCTAGCGTGTAATGGAGAAAGTTAGGAGAATGTAGAATGGAATGGAGAAACCTTTTCCTTGACAAGTGAGTTTTGGATATGCAGGGGGGGTTTGTTTCCCCCTGCTATGAGGGACCATTCAAGTGTATGATTTACACTCACAGCCTGAAGAATAGTCCGCAGCCCGGGAATAGTCTGACTGTGTCATCTCTGGATTGCAGAGACTAACTTGAGTTTGGGTTGCCTGGTTTGCCAGCCTCCAGGTGGATTGTTGAAAGGAAGCAAACAGCCGTGATGTATAGTGCCAAAAAAGGGGGTTCTTCACCAACTTGTAAATTCTTTTTTTCAGTATTCAGTTTACTGGAAGCAATTCAAACGCCGTCAACACCGACGATCCGTGCATATGACATCTCGTTTCGTGTATACCTTTATCAAAGTGGGTAGCGTTGAAATACCTCTATAATGTATAATGTATAATATACATCTGGTAACAGCTGCGAACAGCTGCTACAGCGGTTCGAAACCCACAGCGGCCAGGGTGAGCTCCTGGCCCTAGTCCCAGCTCCCGCCCACCCACCGGTTCAAAAGCAATAACATTTTTTTAAAAAGCGAGTAGATAAATGGGTACCTGCCCTAGGTGGCAGGGGCTACCCTCCTCCGTTGTGGGGTCTGATGGAGCGGCGGCGGCGAGCTGCCGCGGCGGCATGACGAGCGGCGGTGGCGACGAGTGAAGTGGCGAGCAGTGGCGGCAAGGAGGCGCAACACCAGCGGTGGATCGGACGATGGCGGAGGCGGAGCCAGAAGACGCAAAGGACGTAGAGGTGCAGGCGCGGCGGAGCCAAATGGACAGAGCCGGAGCCGCGTTGACGCGAACCACGCGCCAGATGGGTCCACCGAATACAGCCGACTCCGAAGACCACCAGAAGGAGAAGAAGAGGAGCCAAACCGAAGCCGAGCCGACAAAAGCCGAACCGGAAAAAGAAAGCAAGTCCCTCCACTGGGTGCCGGTAGGGCAGTCCCCACCCCTGACTACGTGTGGCCATAGATAGGGATAAAAAAAGTAACTGTAAGCCGTTCAGAGACCCCTCGGGGTTCGAGCGGGATACAAGTCGAAAGCATAAATAAATAAATGTCAATCCATTGGCCAACACTCTAGTCATATCTCATAGTCACATCCATCAAATCCATTCGTGTGATGAATACACGAAACGAGATGTAATATGCACGGATCGTTGGTGCCGATGGCGTTTGAATGGCTTCCAGTAAACTGAATACCGAAAAGAGAATGTACAAGTTGGCGAAGAACCCCTTTTTTTCGGCACTATACATCACGGTTGCTTGCTTCCCGTTCAACTTCCAGCCCACGATCTCTCTCTTTGGTTTGCGGCCTCCAGGTGGAGCCTGAAGTTCTCCCAGAGTTGCAAACTGATCTCCAGAGTACAGAGGCTGGTTCCTCTGGAGAAAACAGCAGCTTTGAACTCTGTGGCCACCTGACCTACCCAGGCTCCACCCCAAACCTCCACGAGTTTCCCAACCCCGAGTCGACAGACGTAGTTCCCGATAAGACATCTCGACGAAGCATTGGGATTTCCGGTGGTATGTGAGTGGCTGAGACTTGGCCGCCTCTGCTAGATTTCATCGCCAGCCTCCAAAGTTATCCCCTGGGCTGTGCTTCAGCCCTTGGCCCCGAGCATCTGTTGGTTCCAGGTGATGCAGTGCGGCGTGGTTGCCTAGCAACATTGTCTCCTGGAGTTCCAGGAGGGGAAGGGGGCTTGAACCCATGTGCTGTGCTCAGACTCCCCTGTTGGCTTTAGTTGGTGTGTTGGTGCTAGAATGCTCTTCGAGGTCTAATCAGCGTGCATTTACACAAACCTTTGAGTGAGGCCAAGATGGTGGAGGGAGAGGAAGTAAGGAGACGGTTCTTGGGAGATTTGCCAATTTGGCACCTCCTGATCCCCAGTCAGCCTAAGGAGCTCTTCACTTGGTATCCAACCCAGTTTGCTACTGAACATACGCTGCCGATTTCTCAGGACTGTGGCCCTGTTCCCACGTACATGGACGTCATGGGAGGACTGGCAGATAAAGCTGAGATTCCGTTCTGTAGGAAAATGGGGTGCTTGGGATCAGTTGAATGGCATGAAATTTCTGCATGTGGCATTTTAATGGGTGCGGGCTCATTCACCCATGCAAGTTGGGGCACGGCTGTTCTGTGATTAATGTAGACCAGTGTACACGTACATGGATACACATGTTAGCAAGCACGGTTCTTGCCTTCCCCATTTTCAAGTGCGCACTTAAAATATCATCCGTCCACACAAAAAGTAATGTGTGAATGCCCCCCCCCACACACACACACACACTGCCTTTCTCAGTGTTGCCTGTTGGTGTTTTGCAACTGGATAGCTCGCACCGATAGCTTTAAGCAAACAGAAATCTCTTTTCAACCCTGATACAATTTTAAGGAAACACCTGCAGCTTCTTATTTGTCCCAAGCCGATGGCAAACAGCTCTTGCGCGTTGAGGAGGGAGGCAAATGGGTCACGGATGAGTCCTGCAGAGAATGGAATTTTTATTTTAGAGGAAGAAAATGGTGAAGAGAGACACTGAGACGGCAGAAACTGTCCTATTATCTTCAGCCTGGCCGATGTGTCACATTCACATGTCAGAAAAACTTGTTATAGCTGTAGCATTGAATGATGCTTTGGCGGGAATGAATGTGATGGAGGCCGATAAGCAATTTCGTTCTTTCTTCTTTGTTGAAGGGGGGAGGGTTAAGGTGTAAGAACTGATTCTCCGAACGGCCTCCATCAAAGTGCACTGTCGTAATTAACCGCCTGCGTGATCTGTTAATTTCTTCTTTCCCCCGCCCCGCCCGCCTCTTCAACCCCTTTCCTTCCTTCTCCTTTTGAAGTATAATCCTCCAGCTTCTCTTGCCGAATACATCCACCGAATTGGGAGGACGGCTCGGATTGGCAGTCGCGGGAACAGCCTGCTCATCCTCGCTCCTTCAGAGGCGGAATATGTCAGCGTGTTGGCTTCTCACAAGATTAAGTGAGTCACAAACTTCTCCCAGACCAAACTTCCGAGCCAGCCTGTTAATAAAGCAGCTATGGAGCTTCCGGGTTGGGGGGTGTTTTTTTGCACCTTTTGCAAGCGGAGGTCGTGCGTGACCACGGTTCCCCCCCCCCCCCCAATTTGGTAAAGGTGTTCTTAATGAAGCTAAAATCCAAATACATATATTTTTTAACTTTGTTTATAATTTTTTAACTTTAACACAACCAGAACACCAAGTAGAACAGTAAAAATACAAAGTACACATCGGATCAAAACAATATTCAAAAGCAGATAAATCCGCCATTGATGGTAAAAAAACAACAACAACAGGTGTCCACCATATACTTCAGAGCAGTAATAGGTGCAAAGGAATAAAGAACCTCTTACACATTTGATTAGGAGTCATCACAGTGTTGAAATGATTTCTAAATACCTTTTGGGAATAGCAAATACATATTCTTAGAAGGAAATATTGACTTAGTTGCTATCACAGCGGACGTGGTTTGGTGTTGTGTCGGTATTTATCAGTTCAGGGCATCACAAAAATTATCCGTTAGATGGATTATTATTTTAGCTGAGGCTTGTGAGCGAATGCAGATGCCGGGACAGAGCATGTTTCTCTCCCACCCCTGCCCGAATGGTATCTTTTGAATGGGAACCAGGAGTGAGGGTTGTGTGGTCTTGAGAGAGCCTTTTCTTAACTCTGTGGTTGGGAGGGTACCTGAGTCCCAGAAGCACTCAGGTTGTAAGGGGTGGCTGGTGGAGCAAAGTTCCTTCTTTGAATCCAGAAGGGCCAAATCATTGACCTTGCCAGGGCAAATGCTGGCATGCCAGCTGCATCGTGCCCACACTTCCCATGGCGCAAACATGCACCCTGCCCACACTTCCCATGACGCAAACATGCACCCTGCCCACACTTCTAATGACACACAAATGCATCATGCCCACACTTCTAATGACACACAAATTCTTCTTACCAGCACTTCTAGTGGCACACAACTGCATCATGCCCAGGCTTCTGGTGGCGCAACCGTGCATTGTGCCCGCACTTCTAATGGCACAATGCATTTTCCTGCCCTGAACAGATGCATGTTCGGATCTTTTGCCTTGTTGGGACTGTTCAAGCCCACCAACCTGTCTTGGGCCTTGAGCTGCCACCTCTTGGTGGGCAGCTGTCATGCTCCTGGGCTTTGTGCTTTTCCCCTCCCATCCCTGCTGTGCTTGATCATGACCCTTTCCTGTCCCTAGGGCTCTTTTTGTAGCAGGAACTCCTTTGCATATTAGGCCACACACCCCTAATCTAGCCAATCCTCCTAGAACTTACAGAGCTCTCCTTACAGGGGCTACTGTAAGCTCTTGCAGGATTGGCTAGGGGTGTGTCACTTAATATGCAAATGAGTACCTGCTACAAAAAGTGCCCAGATAGACTTCCTCTTCCTGCTGGCACGTTTTGCCCATGCAGCAAAAGGCGTGCTGCGCTCAGCGCCCAGACCCTCCATCTCACTTGGGCCCCACTTCTTGCTGCCTCACTCTGTGGTTCGACCAAGCCCTTCCCTTGTTTGTCGCTTTGAGAGCCAGTTTGGTGCAGTGGTTAAGTGCGCAGACTCTAATCTGGGAGAACCAGGTTTGATTCCCCACTCCTCCACTTGCACCAGCTGGATGACCTTGGGCAAGCCATAGTTCTGTCAGAGCTGTTCTTGAAAAAGAGCAGCTTCTGTCAGAGCTCTCTCAGCCCCGCCTACCTCCAAGGGTGTCTGTTGTGGGGAGGGGAAGGGAAAGGAGTTTGTAAGCCGCTCTGAGACTCCTTTGGTTTAAATCCAATCTCCTCCTCCTCCTTCTTCTCCTTCTCCTTCTTCTTCTTGTCAGCCCTGATCTCTGTTCCTCCCTCGGCACCCCCCTCCACTGCCTTTGGGAGCTGACCTCTGCCCCGATACATCACCCTCTTGCTGGAAAACGCCCACTGTGCAAAGGTCTTCTGTTTCTCCCTCTACGAAAGGGGAGGAAACACAGGATTCTGCAGTGCATGACAGCCCCAATAGATGGTAAACTGCCGGAGTCCCAGTTCTGGAATCTGTGTGTTTAACTGGGACACATGGACGCTTCTTCCTGTGTGATTCAGTTATCTGCATAGAGCTGGATTGTGTGTGTGTGTGAGAGAGAGAGAGAGAGAGAGAGAGCGCAACAGACAGACGGAGACAGAGAGAGTTGGAAGCGGGGGTGAAAGGCAAGCTTGGAGACTAATAGATTGCCTTTCCGATCTGGATGGGCAGCTCCAAGCCCAGGGCAGCGTGTGGCATCAGATCGAATTGCCCTTTCTGTTCCTCACTGAAGCCTCGCTGAAATCGATCCCGACAAATGCCGTGTGGCCAGCGATGCAGAAGAATCTCTGTTTGCTTGTCTGGTGCATAAAGTCTGCCTGGAGAGCAAAACTGTGCACCAAGTTGGAAAGGCTTTTTTGCTGTTCGCGCTTTTCTTTTCCCGTGAACAAGTCGAGCTTGATCAGTGGATGGCCACAGCGGTACAAAGGCAGTTGGAGTCATTTTAGGCAAATTAGAGACAAACAGAGAGACGAATAGCTCAAAGAAGCCAGTATGTTGAACCAAATGCACCTTAAAAACTTGTGGGAGAAGTTCTTATGGGCCAGAGTGCACTTTGTCAGGTGCATGAAGCGGTCTTCTAGGTTAGCAGGCATATATAAATGCAGGGCTATTTTGGGGCACGAATGCACAGGAACGGAGTTCCGGCTGGCTCCCAAGTTGGCCACGCCCAGCAGGAACTCATTAGCATAACAGGCCACACCCAACAGCAGAAACGCATTAGGATTGGCTACATTAGGGGTGTGTGGCCTAACATGCAAAGGAGTTCCTGCTACCAAAAAAGCCCTGGGTTTTGACAACAAACAAGGTAAACAGAATAAGAAGCAAAAGGTGGGTGTGGCTGGATGAGCACACTTCTGGTAACATGGGGGGGCTCTAATATGCCAATGAGCTGTGCTGTCAGGGGTGTGGCCTATTATGCTAATGAGTTCCTGCTGGGCTTTTTCTACAAAAAGAGCCCTATATAAATGTACCTGCCCTGCCCTCGATAGCTCAGGCTAGCCCAGCCTCATCAGATCTCGGATGCTTGGCAGGGCTGGCCCCGGTTAGTACTTGTATGGGAGACTGCCGAGGAAGTCCAGGGTGGCTACGCAGCGGCAGACCAGAACGCCTCTTGCTTGAAAACCCTGTGGGGTCGCCACAAGTCAGCTGTGACGACAGCATAAAATAAATGTGCATGGTTACAGAGCGGCACGGACCAAGGATCTACGTCAGTATAAGGCAGCTTCGTGTGTGTTCAACTAGTCCACGGTGACTTCAGGGTTCTTAAAAAGGTATTGCAAAGAAGTGTTTTTAAATCTGTTTAAGCATTCTGCAAGTCTTCTACCTTGCCAGAAGTGAAAGTAGTAAGAGTTCCTTCTCACGGAGAATTAAAAGGCACACAGGATCCCGGTGAGCCAGTTTGGTGTCGTGGTTAAGTGCGCGGACTCTAATCTGGGAGGACCGGGTTTGATTCCCCACCCCTTCCACTTGCACCTGCTGGATGACCTTGGGCAAGCCGTAGCTCTGATAAGAGCTGTCCTTGAAAAAGATCAATTTCTGTCTGAGCTCTCTCAGCCCCACCCACCTCACAGGGTGTCTGTTGTGGGGAGGGGAAGGGACAGGAGTTTGTAAGCCGCTTTGAGACTCCTCTGGGTAGTGAAGGGCAGGGTATAAATCCAATCTCTTCTTCTTCTTCTTTTACCTCACAGGGTGTCTGTTGTGGGGAGGGCAAGGGGAAGGAGTTTGTAAGCCGCTCTGAGACTCCTTTGGGTAGTGAAGGGCGGGGTATAAATCCAGTCTCCTCCTCTTCTTCTTCTTATTGGCACCATGCCACTTTGGGATAACTTTTCTTCTAACGCCTGCTGCTCATAACAGTGCATTCCGCCATTCTCCCTATCCCCCAGAATCTGAACGCATGCACGCGCCCCATGTCTCTTAAAAGTTCGTTTCCAAGGTGCTGGGGCTGTTTTGCCCGTGTGCCTTATCAGACTTCCCTTCAAAGGAAGAAGAGGTGAAGAAATGTAATTTTCTCTTGCTGTTTTATTTGCTTCTGTCTCTCTTTTGGTCCCTTCAAGCAAGACGTCGTGGTGGGGGGGAGGGGGGGCTTGAAAAGCGCAAACGCCGTTGCGGGAGCGGCGCCGGCTTCCATTAGACAGCTCATCAGAGGATTGCTTTATTTCCTAACAGCCGCCTAACGAACTTATAAAAAGAAAAGCACGTCCCCATGAAGGCGTGAGTCTTCCTCCCCACCCCTCCCTTCTCTGTGACGCGCTCCCCGCTGCGTGAACCAGGTTCGCTTATCTGGAGGGCTGTATGCTGGCAGAATGCCAGATGAGAAGAAATGCAGGCAATGGGGCGGGGGGGGGGTTGTTGTTCTGACATCTCCGGCACATCACTGTCAAAGGCTTTGACGTTTTCATTCACGAATGCGTCAGCGCAACCGGGGTGGGGGTGGGGAAGCCAGCGAGCCTTTTGAAAGCAAAACAAGCAGGCCCCGAAAGGGCTTGAGCACGAGGGTGGGACGGCCCGATCCGAGGCACGTTTACTCAGAGGTAAATCTCGCCGTATTCAGAAGGGCTTTCTCCTGAGCTGGGAATCTGAAAGTAGTTCTGTTCCAATCTCATCTTTTCCATAAATACCTTGGGGACCCTGATTGAGTGGAAAGGCAGCATAGAAATGTTTTGATTAATTAATTTAAGTTTAATAATCAGTGCACAAGGAGACTGTAGGCAAGTCACACTCCCACCCCCACCCTCACCTAATTGTGCTATAATTGTGGTTTGCATTACAGGTGTCGTAATGGTTTCAGGTAATGTGTCTAAGGTGGTTTGAGCACTCAAGCAACCGGTGTTCCCTCTAAGCTGAGTTAGTGTGAGCTAGCTCACAGATCTTCTTCGTGGTCTCTGTGCATCACACCCT